TTCCTGATTTCTTATTTTTTTGCATGTTTGTCACACTTAAATGTTTCAGATCATCAAACTAATTTAAATATTAGACAAAGATAACACAAGTAAACACAAAATGCAGTTTTTAAATGAAGGTTTTTATTATTAAGGGGGAAAAAAAATCCAAACCTACATGGCCCTGTGTGAAAAAGTGATTGCCCCCTAAACCTAATAACTGGTTGGGCCACCCTTAGCAACAACAACTGCAATCAAGCGTTTGCGATAACTGGGTCTTTTGACAGCGCTGTAGAGGAATTTTGGCCCACTCATCTTTGCAGAATTGTTGTAATTCAGCCACATTGGAGGGTTTTCGAGCATGAACCGCCTTTTTAAGGTCATGCCACAGCATCTCAATCGGATTCAGGTCGGGACTTTGACTAGGCCATTCCAAAGTCTTCATTTTGTTTTTCTTAAGCCATTCAGAGGTGGACTTGCTGGTGTGTTTTGGATCATTGTCCTGCTGCAGAACCTAAGTGCGCTTCAGCTTGAGGTCACGAACAGATGGCCGGACATTCTCCTCCAGGATTTTTTGGTAGACAGCAGAATTCATGGTTCCATTTACCACAGCAAGTCTTCCAGGTCCTGAAGCAGCAAAACAGCCCCAGACCATCACACTACCACCACCATATTTTACTGTTGGTATGATGTTCCTTTTCTGAAATGCCGTGTTACTTGTACGCCAGATGTAATGGGACATACACCTTCCAAAAAGTTCAACTTTTGTCTCGTCAGTCCACAGAGTATTTTCCCAAAAGTCTTGGGGATTATCAAGATGTTTTCTGGCAAAACTGAGACGAGCCTTTATGTTCTTTTTGCTCAGCAGTGGTTTTCGTCTTGGAACTCTGCCATGCAGGCCATTTTTGCCCAGTCTCTTTCTTATGGTGGAGCCATGAACAATGACCTTAATTGACGCAAGTGAGGCCTGCAGTTCTTTGGATGTTGTTCTGGGGTCTTTTGTGACCTCTTGGATGAGTCGTCGCTGTGCTCTTGGGGTAATTTTGGTCGGCCGGCCACTCCTGGGAAGGTTCACCACTGTTCCATGTTTTCGCCATTTGTGGATAATGGCTCTCACTGTGGTTCGCTGGAGTCCCAAAGCTTTAGAAATGGCTTTGTAACCTTTTCCAGACTGATAGATCTCAATTACTTTGTTTCTCATTTGTTCCTGAATTTCTTTGGATCGCAGCATGATGTCTAGCTTTTGAGGATCTTTTGGTCTACCTCACTTTGTCAGGCAGGTCCTATTTAAGTGATTTCTTGATTGATAACAGGTGTGACAGTAATCAGGCCTGGGTGTGGCTAGAGAAATTGAACTCAGCTTTCCAAAGATGTGATAAACCACAGTTAATTTATGTTTTAACAGGGGGGGGGCAATCACTTTTTCACACAGGGCCATGTAGGTTTGGATTTTTTTCCCCCCTTAATAATAAAAACCTTCATTTAAAAACTGCATTTTGTGTTTACTTGTGTTATCTTTGTCTAATATTTAAATTTGTTTGATGATCTGAAACATTTAAGTGTGACAAACATGCAAAAAAATAAGAAATCAGGAAGGGGGCAAACACTTTTTCACACAACTGTACATACATACATACATACAAACATACAGTATATAAACTCCAGCCAACAGTCAAACATAAAAATAAGATACATTTCCATGACAGTATAATCCTGATGCCAAAAAAAGGTATACATTTTGAGGTTTAGTTCATTGTCACATTTCAGTTTGAATAATCACATGTTGCAAGTGCAACTCATGAGCCAATAGTACACAACTTCTGCACGTTTCCCACAATGCACAGCACAACAGGAATTGGTACTTATAACTCTATGATAGAGGGGCAGAATTAAAGGCACATGTGTCGGTATCAGTATGATAATGCACTCTGGGATGTTCCAATGCACAAAGAATGCAAGCCTCGGGGACAAGTAGAGCGGAGAAGGAAGGAAGGACTTATGGGATTGAGGGGGAACTGGGATGTAAAGTACCAGCTGAGTAGGGAGGAGATCTCACAACACGTCTACGGTGGACCGTCTACAAATGAATGAGGATCTAAGGGGCGGACTCCACTTTCACTAGATCTTTTAGTCTTAACTAGGTCTGTTTTACCTTGTTGTAAAGCTCGCTGCGCCCTCCGCTGGAAGCTTCCTGCCAACATATCACAGACTAGGATGCAGTAAGAGTTCAAAGAAACCTGCGAACAACCAAAGAGGAGCCGAGCCAAGGTGATGCTGTTCATACACAGCCATTTATTGTGGGTTTAACCCATAATGAAGTACAAATGAATGTACAAATCCTTTACCGTCTTTAACTATTGACGTTCAAAAGCTTTTTGCATTATTCTCCGAAACACCAGAGGGCGGACAAACAAACCGTACCGTGAAGAAGCAAGACGTCAACAAGCGTAACTGGAAAAATCAAGAATTAAATGTATAATAATAATAATAATAATAATAATAATAATAATAATAAAAAGGTTAAATATCCTGTAAACGATTCGATTTGGCTGGCTAAACATGTAATCAAATGCCTGTTTCTAAAGCATTTAAAAACTAATTTGCCATCTTTTGTAAAATCTTCAGACTTCTTAATAGTGCTTTTATCAGTGAGCTATTTGTGAAGTTCATGCACGGAAAGCCGCGAGCATGAGCAGGCAGCGGGCGCCTTGTTACATACAGAAAACCAGAGGTACGAGGTGGAAACTTCATCCATGTCCTCAGATACTGTAATTATAATGCAACCATTAAGATCTACACACCCGGACTGAGCTCCTTGTGTTTCAGAGGAGCGTGATGATTCCAATGCACGATGGCAGTAGGAAGGTTTACCCACCTGCTGTTTCAAAGCCTCCCTGTAGCGCAAAACCCTCTCGGGGGTTGATCTGGATCTGTCGGAGGGGAAAACCCTGATGTGCGACTCCACAGGGGCCGCCTCACTGCTAGGCCTGTCAGGAGAGTTGCAGAATCACACTTAATATTTAAGTTTATTCAAGTCCATTCTGTTAGGTTAGAAAGGCTGACTACAAGAGGCTGTATTGTCCTCTATTGTTTTTGGCTCATATTCTTCAGAACAATTGGTTGAATTTAAATGAGATGACAGGACCATAAGATGCCTGGGAGTTGGTAAAGCAGATACAGTCACGGTTAGCTGCTGAACACGTCCTGACCCTGCTTTCCAGGTCAAAGAGCTAAAAAGTGAGGGGGATATATTTACTGTGTTGGAGGCTCAGGGAAGCTGCTGCCACTGTGCTGGCTGTGGTTTCCAAAGTGGCTGGGCGGAGCTCCTCCTGCTGGTACGTTCCAGTAGGACACGGGAGGAACAGACAAGGGACCATCTGAACACAGAAATTAAAACATAAAAATGTGGACGATAGCGCTGAACGTAGCATCTGTTTAGCCTTCCACCAATATGTTCACTAAGAGTGAAGGTTGTTCCGCTCCCTACATTTAGCGGAGGAGACCAGTGCTTACAGTGGGCCATGTTGGGGTCGAGCAGGTTTCTGGTGCCGTAGTAGTGATGGGGCTCTCCATACGGGCTCCTGTAGGCTTCACTGAGGGCTGGAGGAGGATGAGGAGCAAACAAGGGGATTCTGGAGATTCAAAGCAGAATATGAAACAATCAATGATGTTATACAACACAGTATCTCTTTTGTAAATGCTGAAACGTTCTGTAGGTCTTAATTTTCTGGCTGTATCTGGTGTTCTATATTGTGTTTTATGATATGAGCTACACAGTATGAGGTGAACTAACGAGGCCAAAGTATTTGTTTATCTTTCACAACAGAAAAAAACAAAAAACAACATGTTGAATGGACTTGCCAGCAACTTAAATGTTTTTTTAAATAACACGACTAGAGTTTCAAGTTATCCTCTTTAGATGTTTTAGGAAACATCGTTTGTAGGATTTGCCATTGTTGGTGGCGGAGTCCGCCATTTACGAGCTGAATTCACAGGCACAGGAGATTAAAAGTAAATGATACATTCATGCAATCTAGCGTTACCATGTCCAATTTTATCGAATTGATTTCACCCTCACTGTTCAGAATTCACTCTCCCACAGCCCAGTGTTAAATTTGAGGAAACACCAGGTGGCTTTTATTGTGACACAGTCACAGGAAACGCCATGCGCTTGTCACCAAGGTTATCGCCGACTGAAATCTTGAGAATTACAGCTCAGCGTGAAGTTAAAATTCAAGGGGTACCTGGGAGTGTCCGTGGTTCTGGGGAAGGAGGGGCCAGCAGGCTGGCTGTTGGGCGACAGGCTCAGGGCGGAGCTATACTCCAGCAGAGGGGACTGGAAGGCCACATGGGGCTGCTCGGGAGGAGGAAGAGGAGTCTCTCTGACTCGCACACCCATCTTCACGTTATTAGGGAGGCCTCTGGATGAGGTCTCACTCCCTCCCGTTGCTGAAGGCTCCAAGGCCTGATGAGTTTCTCTTCGGCACAGACCAAACTGTCTGATTCGGTACGGCTGATTTGTGGAATTAGACAGAATTGAGAGATTGATGTATATGGCATGTATTCATATTCCCCTTTTAGTCGTATTTTCTGCGTGAGCTTGTTTTTTTTGCCACTATTTGGTGATAAGAATTATCATTATACTACTGCACTCAAGAGTTTGCTATGAACTGAGACACAACCATCATTCACAGATTACATCCTTACAGATGCAGCTGGAGGGTCAAACACGTAAAATGGTCAGTGATTTGTATTCACCCACTGTGACCTCAAAAGTAACCAACAATCCTCTTTACACAGGCTACATGAGAGTGGGATGTCGTGAGGCCTACTGACCCGTTTCTCAGGATCGTTTGGTCCCGTTGCAGTGACTTTCAGCTCCAAATCTTTCTCCCTGCAACAAGGACAAGCATGAGCAAGCAGAGGTCTGGGGCTCTCCTCAGGAACACTTTGAGAAGACACAAAAAAAAAAAAAAAAATATACATACATACATACATACATACATACATACATACATACATACATACATACATACATACATACATACATACATATATATATATATACATGGATCAATAACAACACACCTCTTCTTGTTCCTATGCTGTTCAGCGATCTGCTCCTGCAGCTCCCGTCTGTAGCGCTCCTTCCTCCTCTGTAAGGCGTCCTCTGTATCGACTGCTCCTGAAAACACAGAATACCAATTTCAAATAATGAAATGGCAGTTTAACTAATCAAAAACATTCTCCACTAAACAATAACTCTGATAAGAACTGTCCTAACAGAACAACACATGTTCAAATTGACTTTTAGCAGAGTCATTTGTAATAAGTAAAAACACTGTAAAAATGTCCTTTAACCTATTTTGAGGCCAGTGGCAAACTCCACATCCTCATTGTTGGTCAGTGCTCTCGATCCCCTGCCTACTAGATCCTCCCTCTGCTCCCTGGGAAAAGTAAAACAAAAACAGAAAAAAATGATAAGGACAAACAAGTGTGTGCTATTTTTTTTATCACGCTCTTAACATACATGAATATACGTATACCTGCCATCGGTCTTATTGGATCGTCTCTTCTCATAACTGGCCTCGACCCCTATATGCCTGCGCCTTCTTCCTTCCACTAGTTCCAGCTCCTTAAAGTATTCCTCCTCCTCCTCCTCCTCCTCCTCCTCCTCCTCCTCGGAGTCCCGGTCCAGAGGCTTCCCCAGCCTGTCACAGTGTCTGGGAAGTACTGACGCCTGCTCCTGGTCCGCCTCAGGACAGAGGGTCATAAGCTCAGCGAGACGCAAAGCCCTGTGCAGTCCCCTGCTGTCCTCTGTGAGAGTGGCTGCATCCCTCCGGGAGGGCGGGCGCTGTTTGGGAAGAACGTCCGTCTGGCTTTCAAGCAGGTGTTGCTGATGGAAACATGATTGAAAAAGGGAATGTTTGTTTAAAAAGACTTTGTGGGACTAGATCAGGTCCACAGCAACTATTTAAAGCAGAAATGTCAAGTTGGGTCATCGAGACTTATTTTGTTTAACTATTAATTTAACCATTTATTCATTACTTTAGACTAATATTTAGACTATTTATGCATTGCTTTCAGCCATTCATGCATTATTTTTGCCTATTATTTCAGCTATTCATGCATTATTTTCAGCTAACTATTTGAACTTCTCTGCTTGCTATGTAGCTAGTATTCACTCTGTGACTAAATGTGACTATGGTTGTTACAGCTGACGAATGTATTTTTGTAATCAAATTGTAATTTCTATTTTTTTAAATGAGTTGAGCTAATATACCATCTCTGCATTTATTCATTGGAAACAAACTGCTGAAGTACCTTCTGGGGTACAGGAACCACCTGGTCGGGAATCAACAATGTTTAGATAGTATCTTACGTGCATTTTGTATATTTTTGGAAACAATCTTTTATTAAATCTTTCTCCATAAAGAATGAGGGGGAGTTAGCACAAGGTTTCTGTATCACTCATTCCATTCAAACGACTGCTCTCCAGTAATAATGAGGAATTATTGTCCTTCGTTCAAAAAGCTGGCTGATAAAAACAGTAAAGGTTCTTAATTAAATTTGTGATATGTCAGCAACTCACTCAGTTTTGTAAAATCATAACTACCCTGTTCGGTCAAAGATATGATCTGGCAATCAAGTGACATCATTAAGTCGTTAAGAGACATTTACCTTGATGGATCTCCTATTATTGAGGCGAATTAACGGTCCAGGCTCTGCATGGCCAAAGTGGTTTTTCTGGAACATAAAATGTTGCCAACATGATTCCAACATTGTGACTTTTACACTTCCCTGGATCACAGCTTATGTCTGCGTTTCCTCTCTCATACGACTCGTGTTTCTTGCGGACCTCTGCGGTAGTGATATCTACCTTACAGTACAATCAAGCCCATTGTCAAAATAGAACTAAACAAAGCCTTAGCTGATCTTCAAGCTCGCCTGCTACGGCCAAACACACGAGTAAACAGCCAAGTCCGTGACAGTCACCTGAGCCATGTAGCGCCTGTAGTCCATACGGAGTTCATGCTGCAGCCTCTGTTTCTTCCGCTCGTACTCCACGCCGAGTGGTAGACCCACGGTGCAACTCTCCTCTGACGAGATACATGCATCAATATTTTAACAGAGACGTGAGGAGAAGGGTTTTGTAGCAAAACAAGACAACTGACACTTTAAAGAAACAACTCATCCACCCTGACAAACATTGCTCACATCATGAGGTCGTGTTAATGATAGACTTCAGGTATTTGGTCATTTTTATGAAAAGAATCATCAAGAGTTTAGAAGGGGGAACTGTACCTTTCTCCTGTGCTATAGACTTGGGAGGGATGTTCTCCTTAGCAGTGGACTCGTAGGCTCTGTGGGGTTTTGCCTATCAGTCAAAAACAGAATATCATACATTAAGAGAAACCCACAACAGGATCCCTGCTAAGGGGTTATCCCCGTGCTCTGGTCATATATATATATATATATATATATATATATATATGACCAG